TGTTCAAGCTGTACAATGTTTAAAGTGGCTGACAATAATAAATATTCTTATTAGGAATAAAACTGTGCATAGCTGTAGCTGAAAAATTAGGCCTACTACTCTACTGTATTTTAATGTTGGTCATTATGGTGGTACTTGGAGAGCCAAACATTTTCTGAGGTGGTACTTGGTGTAAAAAGTTTGAGAACTACTGCTCTATTCTTTGAAGCTAAAAACATCTTGTATCAGGAATAGCAGCACAAATCCCAGTTTCTAAGCGTATCATTTCTCTTTTCTTCCAAAACTTTCCTGTTCTCTCTTTCCATCCCCCTCTGGGTGATGTTGCCTTGTCAATTGGCCCTGTGACTCTGAAGTGAGAGGAGATTTTTAGGCAGGGAGGAATGTTTTTCGCAGATACTCATCCCAGCTGTGAAAACTCACTCCGTAACACAGGCCATCAGTTGGCTCTCTCATTCACTTTCTCTTCTCAAATGGTTATTATAGATTGAGAAGGAAGGAGGTAATGACATCTAACCACAGTCCTTATTGGAGATTAAAATATTTAAATATTGAATTTTTGAATGTCAAAAGGGGGGTTTGGTCTGTGTGGGTGAATGTGTGGTCCAGGCTATTGATCTGTGGGTAAAGTGGAAACACATGTTCTCCTCTTCCAATCCCTCTGTGAGTCTCAGATGTCACATCTCCATGTGCTTATTCATAGATTTAATTTAATTTTATTTTATATTTCTGCTCATTTAAAACATTTCTTGTAATTTAAATTACTGCAAAGATTTTGCCTAGTATAGTAACCACATAATCATCAAAAACTTTATTTGACATTGACAAAACGTTTTATTTATTTATTTAAGTAGCAGTAAGTAGTAATTAGTATTAACAGTATTAATATAATAATTTTATTGCATTTATTTTGTTTATTTATTTGCCCTAACAATATAAATAATATAAAATGAATTATTATTGTTATTAGTTTTGGGCAGAATTCATTATCACCGCATTGCTGTTTTCTTTTCATATCTTTGCTGTTGCTGATAATGGTGCATTTCCAATCAGGAGATCTGTGAGTGTATGTTTTGTAAAAGAAACAGATGACTTTGTGCATTACGTGGTCACAAAAAAGCATACAGCACAAGGGCCTATTGGCAGTTTACTCTCATATAAATGTACCTATATGAGTGTATGCAGAAATAAGTCTGTTCAACTATGGACACAGCACCATGTTGACATCCATGAAATGGATACTATTGTTTTCGTTCCTGCCCTTCACATGGGGCCTTTGAAACAACTTTTGCTGATCACTCCTGTCACCCAGCAGGAGTATTTGTAGTCTGAAGGCTATGCTCTCTTTTGTGTGCACAGGCTTCACAGGAGAAACCGCTCCTAAAGTTGGCAATACCAAACTACAACGTAGAGCTCTTAGGTAAGATCCTTATTTTTATATAACTTGGGTTTTGAGTGCTTTTATAAGCTCAATGGAAAAGATCCACACCAACAGAAATTCAGTCTTTTTAAATGTCTTGTTATAAAGCTTGAACAACTTTAATCCGACTACATTGTGTCCCTCCAGATGTAGTCATGCTTTGGGATGTGGGATTGAATGTGTTATATTTTATTCTCCCAACTATTTGTTTTTGTCCTGTATGGTGCTTTGGCATTATTTGCTGTTGGGAAAATATTTCTTAACTTACTTTAATAAAAATACTTTTTCCAGTTGTGGAAAATCACATTTTTATGCGAAGATATTGCATTTCACATTTTTTGGGATAGAACTGTGTGATTTCTGCCAAGATTCAGATCCCTTTTCAGGTGCTGCTTCAACAAAAGCAGGCAATTCTGAGGCCTCTTGATTCTGTTATAAACATTATATGCAAAATATATTTAAATTTCAAGCTGGTTTCTGTTTCTGTCCAGCTTCCAGAAAGATTTTTTGTTGGAAGAGAAAGAGGGAACCAACAAAGAATTACATGTCAGTCTGCTGGGAAATACACCCAAGGGTAAGTACAATATACACCAACACTTCAGCTGTGTGGTTCTTTATCATGACTATTATTTCAGTTCAGTTTTACTCTCACTAAACCAGGAGCCATGAGCTCTGTCACAAACTTAGCAAGATTCACTTGACTTGGTTTGAACACTAAATGATCTGTGGCTCTTAAAGGGTTAGTTCACCCAAAAATGAAAATTCTGTCATTAATTACTCGCCCTCATGTCGTTTCAAACCCGTAAGACCTTCGTTCATCTTCGGAACACAAATTAAGATATTTTTGATGGAATCTGAGAGCTCTCTGACCCTGCATAGACAGCAATACAACTAAAATGTTCCAAAGTCCAGAAACGTAGCAAGGAGAACTGTAAAATAATCCATGTGACATCAGGGGTTCAACCGTAATTTTACGAAGCTACGAGAATACTTTTTGTGCGCAAAAGAAGAAAAATAACGACTTTATTCAACAATTCTTTATTCAACAATTAATGACAGAATTTTCATTTTTGGGTGAACTATCCCTTTAAGCCAGTTTAATTTTAGGGTGTCCTTCCCTGATATAGCCACATAAGACACATAAGATTCTGTATTCACATTAGACAACAACAGTCTTCTAAAATGGCAAATAAGAAAGTATATAATGCTAGTGCCTTGATCAAAGTTTACTAGACTGTATGTTCTTTCAATTAGCATGGTCTTGATGGTTCCTGGACACATGGAGGTCATTGTGTTGGGGGGATGGACGCTGATGACCTATATTTGGTCTACTGGGGTTACCTGTTGTTGGGCAAGTTCTCTTGCTTACTGGCCCTGAAAATGTGACAGTTGTGTGAAAGAGAGTGCCAAGATACTTTGTAAAAGTGTTTGTACTGAAATCCAATCCAGAAAATGGGTGAACATGATTTTGTGGAGCTCTCGCAGGAGCAGCCTGCTTCTGGTAAGCTCCAAAAGACATTTTTGCATGTTTAAGTCATATTCTGTCTTTTAGTTTTTACAGATGCTGCCAGTGGGCTAATACATGTTGTCAGTCTCTTAACAGACTTTTTTTAAAGCATATTTTGAATTGAACTTAAGCATATTTTTATTGCTTAAAAAAAAATCTAAATTGATTTCTAAATGCATGTTCCTGGTCTTATTGTGAACAATTTATTGTCTGTTGACATCACACGGGCTATTTGTTATTTATTTGATAGCCAAATAGCAGTTTAGACATTTGTTTTAGTAAACTCACCTTTGGTTTAGCTCCATTCTAGTGCATAACACCCACTTTTCACCTACAATTAATTCCTGATGGATGAAATCAAGTCCACATTGTTTCCTTTTGTTTTTTAGTATGCGTGTTTTGTAAATTTGCAAGTCACAGTAGGTGTTCTCCTTTCAGAAAAGCTCATGACAGTGATTATTCTTGGCTAAAAACTTTGTATATTTTAGTTATTTTATGTCCCCCATTCATTTTGCTGGCATGAAGCTCTTATAGTTGTGTAATCCTGGCTTGTTAGAATCAGGTCTGTCTAATGTCAGATTCACATTGCTGTTTGTTCTTCCCCACTTTCCAAGTGGGAACTTGATTTAAAACATGACATAACAAACACTCTTGCTGTGTTACTTCAAATATATTGGAGTGTCTAATAAATTAATAAAATTAAGATAAATATAATGAATTGTTCTTTGACATTTTTACATATTTGTCCATATCTGTCCACTTTTTATGGAATTGATTAATTAATTAAGGTCAAGTAAGACACACTTGACCTTACTTCAGGGTGTCTGCAGGTCTTAAAAAGTCTTAATTAGCCCTTCCACAAATGAAGGCCTAAAAAGATCTTGGATCAGAAACTGAGGCATGTCATTAAATGTAGCATACACTGCACAAAATGAATATCTTCCTCGGTATTTTTGTTTTGTTTTCCAATACAAAAATGTTAAACATCCTTGAATCAAGATTAAGAGAGTTAATGTGTAAAACAAAAGAACAAGCATTTGAAAATTAAGCGGATTTTTTTTTTCTGAGGCAGTTATTTGTAACATTTCATTTCATTTTGATCAATTTTTCATAAAACAAAACTTACTATTTCATCATTTTGCTTCTCAGGTAAATGCATCTAATTTAAGAATCTTTAGACATTTGCACTGGAGAACAACTAGTGGCAGTGGTATTCAGACCTTGAATGAATAAATGAATAAAAATAAATATAGATAAAAAATAATGGAGATTGGTTGAAAGTTTTTCCAACTTCTACAAGATATTCAAGCTGCTACATATTTACAATTAAAGACTATTTTGAAGTATTGTGTTCTGTCCAATTTATTCCTTACATTTTTTTTACTTGGTCTTAAAAAGGTCTTAAAATGTCTGTTACTTGACTACATGTAACAGAAAGAGAAATCCTGCCCTGTGGGAATGAACCTGCCCTGTGTCTTCGTTGCATCGCTCAGATCTTTGCTTTGAATCCCAGAGAGACCAGGCTGAGGAAGCATTGTTAGAAACAAGTGTGCCGTGTGTACACATTAGCCCATGATGAGTCTCCTCTCAATCACTTCTCAGTCTCCTGGTGACTGGACACTGTTGAGTGTCATATTTCCATGGCTACAGCTGAAACAACATTCACTGAGGATGCACCTATGATTGGCTAACTTTTGTGGAAAGCCAGTCAGCCACGCTCCTAGCTAATGTCAGACGACTGTAAGCAGCTTTTGTTTTAGATAACACACTGGACTTTTGTCTCCTCAACTATTATTGGAATTGTGTCACTGTAGCGACATGGCAGTATACTTAGTGACACAGGAAGCAATACTATATAAGGATCATTTATTTTATTTGGAAAACAAATATAAGGGATGGGATTGGCATTTTTATATGCTTACCACTAGGCCTGTCACGATAACACCTTTTTGTTGTGCGATATATTGCCCCAGAAATAATTGCGATAAGCGATATTATTGTAATTTTAAAGACCATTTTATGCCACTGAATATATAATCATAATGTAACAGCATAATAATGCAAGAAGGCCTACACACTTCCAAATGACAACAAACTTTTAATTTTTAAGAATATTTAGATCATGGAAATTAAGTATCAAAGCATTAGATACCTAAAAAACCTGAATAAATGGTAAATAAACATTTTCTAACAAAAAGTACGAAGTAACAAGTAGAAAAAAAGAAAAATGCACGAAGAACTTGTATGGAGATTCTTTCATCTACAGATTTTTCCCGGACCTTCTTTTCTCTATAAAATAAGGGTGCATACTATTGCTGAAAAACACAATCACTACTCAGCAGCCAGATGTTCGTATGCACAAAGGCACAGATCCCTAAACAAGGCCATATCTGCAGATGAAACTTTTTTTTGTAGAAGCATTTTTAAAATTTTAACTAGCACCTCATGACTACACCACGTTATGTACGAGAAGCTGCAAAAGACACAGGCGCAAGTGGAATGTACAAAACATGGTGACATTAATTTTTAAGTAAATATAATGGGCGATATATTGCGTCAAATTTATTATGAAACAAGACTTGGTATTAAACACCAGCAAAGCTAAACTATGTAAGGATTTGACTGTCCTCATGTGGTGTGAAATGTTGTTTATCTTGCAGTATACAGTAAGCTCTACTTGCGTTTCTTTTCTTAGTTGTTTAAGAATATAGCAATGCAGAATACTGTTTACTACGTTTTAGTATTTGTAATGGTTTTGATAGATTTACTTATTCTTGTGAGAGATCATTCTTTTACCGGTCCATTCTCACTTTGCCTTTTTTTTCTCTTTTTTTTTTAGTCTCAGAATTAAGGAAACGTTTTGAGAGTGTAAGCTCGAGTCAGAGTTGGGACATGAACAGGTGAGAAGTTAAATCATTCTCAAAGCATGCACAGCCAAAGTTCAGTTAATACAGGTGTTCAGCAACAATAACAAAGTCACAAAATTGTCAGCACACTTTAATTTCCCTTTCACCACACGTTTCAAGCTCTTCACCAGAATTAAAGTAGCATACGTATCCAAAAATACCACAATAACTGAATAATGTATAATAAATGTGCACACTATCATTAAAGGTTTGGGGTCAGTACTATTTTTTTTATTTTTTTTATCAGATACACGTAGCCTAGGTGAGCACGTTTTGAAAAGCTTCCTTCAAAAACATAAACAAATGTAACAGAATCTAAACTTTTGAATGGTATTGTATAAATATAACAAAAATATAAAATATGGAAGACTAACTAATAAACAAAGTATGTTTTTTCAAAAGTTTTTTTGTTCACTTTATTTTCAGGTCAAATTCTCGCTATTAACAAACCATTAACTATGACTTTTGCCTCCATAAACTCCTTATGTGCTGCTTAATAATAGTTAGTAAGGTAGTTTTTAAGTTTAGGTATTGGGTATGATTAGGGATGTTGAATATGGTCATGTAGATTAAATGGGCTAATAAACAGCCAATATGTTAATAATAGGCATGATAATAAGTAACTAATTAATAGTGAGAATTGGTCCCTATACTAAAGTGTTACCCCCCAGATTAAGAATTATATATTTTTATATATAAGAATTATATATTTTAATATTGCCCCTGTACCACTCCTGTTTATAGGAAAGAGCGGATTGCAAGACGTCTGGAGGGAATCGATAGTGATGCTCTCCAAAATCTCCCAGGCTGTGGCGGTCTAGTTACCAATCGACTGCTAGAGGAGGACACTCCAAGATATACCCGTGCAGCAGACACCTGTGACCCCTGTACAGGTGAGAACTGTGCTTAATATTTTTATACTTTGAATCGTTCACTCACCTATAACATGAATGAGAAATAATGTGCATTAAGCATCTGTATTATAACTAAGGTTGCATATCAGTACAACAATGATAGGTTTGAGTTGATTAGAAACATTTAGGCAAACTGATTCAGTATAAACTATGTATTATCCTTCTTTATCTCTCTCATTGTAGTTTCTCTTCAGCACTATGGCAAAAATGACCCAAACTTCCCAAATCTGCACAGTGCAGAGGTTCAGTCCAGAACCCACACAGTCCAACCGGAGACTGTCTATAGCACTGGCTCCACTCATGTGGCAGAGCTGGACTCTAAAGCTGAAAGGATCGCACGCTACAAGGCAGAACGGCGCCGTCAGCTAGCAGAGCGCTATGGCATCTCTCTGGATCAGGAGTTGGAGACTGACTATACAGCTCGCTACTCCAAAACCTCTAGAGAGCCCGATGGCTCAGACCGACAACATAAGTCAAAGGTAGATGGAGGAGATGGAGTGGAGCATAATGCTTACACCCCCAGCCATCATGCAGACAGGGCCAGTTCACACATTCACAGCGATACAGAGTTCATCCGGGATCACACCGAGTCCATCTCCGAGCGCGAGAGGATGATGAATCTGGAGAACCAGAGGAGGGCACAGGAGCGGGATAGATTGCATGGAGGTGGAGGGGTTGCACCTGACCCATCTTCATATATGGATGTATCAGGGTCTGCCAGGATCCTAGGGAAGGAACCAGGGGCGATGGGGGTTCCCAGCTCGCCTAATGCAGGCCGAAGGACCATGATGCCATCTCCAAAACAGGGAGCATCTCCTGGTGATCTGTTTATTGAGCAGCAGGCTCACAACATCCTCCAAAGACACGGGTGAGACTTCTCAGCATGGTAGATGTTTCTTTTTTTTTCTTACAGTCATCTAGTAGTATCTTTATATATCGGTGTCCTATTTTCCTTCGCTTACTCTTTCCTTTCTTGGAAAGAATGTTGGCTGGTATTCCCCTGAATCTGTCTTTCACAGGTATTTTCCCCAAAAGAAAGCCGTCAATTTGCAGGATTTGGCTTGCATACTGTTAGGAGTGTTTTAACAGCTCCCTAAAGATGGGTGGGCTCTGTTCAGTATGACACATTATCCATTAGCATTGACCTTTACTGTCCTTTGGCATTCATTTCTTTATGGCATGGGTCAGTGCTCTGTGTGACACATTGGAATTAAAGTGCGTGCCAAATTAAGCAACAAAAGATTCCAGCAGAATTAAAATTCCCAACATCAAGCCAAGCCAAAAAATTACAAATGAATATGATAAAGAATGATATTCAGGAAATACCCAAAGCACTTTTATAATGTCAGTATAAAGTTTGATTGCTTACTTAATGTGAACAAATTAGGATTTGACCTTTAAAACCCTGTTCCCAGCAGGCCGAGCTCAATTTTCATAACTTATTTGAGGCCCTAATTATTTATTTTATTTTATTCATTTTTTTTTTGAAGAAGATTTGTTTTTCCCCTCTCTCTAAGCATAAACACTAAACTGTTGAGTGGTTCACTCTTTTGGGCGTATCTCAACTAATTTAGCTCCTGTGGCCAGTCAACAAACCAGTGGTCACTTCAGACTGATTCAGAAGGAGACACCCTCTCTCCGATCAACTGGCCTTCCAGGTACCATACGTTTGGGATTTATGGGTGTGTTTGACACCCTTCACTTAACAGTGGTCCCGCCTAACTTCATGGCCCTATCTCAAACCATCTCTAGTCCTGTCCTATAAACGTCCTTGCTAATATGTGAGGTAAGAATGACTGTGACAGGAGTCTTGTTTTTTTTTTAGTGGTTTTATTGGATTGTTGTCTGGTTGTTACGCTTTGCAACTTACTGTGGCTAGGAACTAGGGGTTGTGCGATATTGACAAAAAATATTTGATATTTATTGAGATTTTTCGATAACGGTAATTAAACAATATTTTGCTGAATGTGTTTTTGTGCTGGTTCCTTGGCATAAATGACACTAAATCCACCGGTAGGTGGCAGCAAGTCCCTTTCTTAAGGAGTGATTCACTGAATCAGTCATTTTGTTCAAAATAGCCGATTCATTTAGAAACGAAGCAAGTGACTGTCTGCATGAATGGATCATTGATTCAAATGATTAATTCAAAAACAGATGTATTCAGGAATGAAACACCATGGTGTTGTATCTATATAAATATAAAAAAGACCCATACAGGGATGTTTTCATAACTTAAATTATTGGGGCATTCTAACTGTATTACAATAGGCTTCATCATGCAGTCTGGACTTTCAAGATGTGTTTGTTTCTTTTTTGCAAAGTGAGTGACATACTCGATGTCAGCTTGCATATCATTAAAACAACAGTTGCGATATTAAGTCGCAGATGCTATATATTGCACACCCCTACAAGGGACCAAACTTAGCCTGGAAGACTGGAACACAAAGTTGTAAATTAAGCCTGTGACTGTTTCATTCTTAAGTGATCATAGTAGCAACCTGGCTTTACAAAGGGACAATAAGGGCTGGTTTAGTCTGTCAGGTTATTTGGAACCAGCAAGGTAGAGGGCTCAGGGTGTGGTTTTGAGTTGGGCCTATCATTTCAGTAACAAAGTGGCCATCCTCGCACACATCTCTACCACCCATCCCATCCACGCTGTTAATGAGTGCTGTGGGTTTGTATTTGGTCATTAAACGTTTAGACCTCTTGCTGCAGTTTACCCTTAACTCTTGCTAATATACTTCAGGCACAGTCCAGTTTCTTTGTGTGTGTGGTTTATCCCTATATGGCAGTTATTGTCCTCGTATTGTATTTCAATACCTGGCTTAATCATGTGTGACATATTTGGGTTTTTGGTATTGTGGTGGAAAAGAAAATTGTTGAGCTATGAGTCACCAAACTCGACAAGAATGTAAATGCAGATCATTTGGCCTGCATTAGCTCAATATGCCAAATGGAGAGTGTGATAACTTGATTAGTCATGCAAAACACCAGAGCCAAGTTTGTTGGGAATCATTTCACACGCAAATTGTGTTCCCGTTTTGCATCTTTTTGTTTTTTTTATTCCATTCTTTACCTGTTCTTTCATTCTCACTTTTTATTATTTTAAGTTCTTCCAGAGACTATACTAGTTTAGTGTTTTATTTTACAATGTGGACATATTTCTCTTTTGCAATTCCTTGTCACTTAATGTCTGCTGACCTTAACCCAATGCAGATAGAAGAGATGTGTAGAGAGAAATGGAGAAGGTTGGGCTCTCCACCTCCTCCTCTGAAGAATCTACAGAGTATTTGCACAATCATAACCTTCTAAAAAAAATATGGTTTCCAATTGTTATAGTGATCAAGTCTGAGATGTAGATGCTTTTTTTAGTTAATGTTCAACTGCCATGAATTTGCATTTAAAGTCGACATGAAATTTTATTTAGATATTTAAATACGTGATATTGGTCTTAATGTAAACACAGACTTTAAGCTAATAAACCTCTGTTTATATTTGCATTTACTTTTTCAAAATACTTTTTTTTTTCATTTCGTGAACCATATCTCTTGGCTACATTTTGTTAGAGACATTTTTCTAATTTAGCCTTGAAAATACAGTCTGCTTAGAGAAGGTTAAAAACAGTTCACATGACTCAACAATTACAGAGTGCAGTGCATGGTTTCACTTAAACGGGTCCAGAGGAGCTCAGCGGAGTGCATGGTACCATATGTGAAACTGAAGTGTGAGTGTGTAGATGGCAGCTGTCAAGCTCGCTTCAGGAGAAACAGCTTTTATCAGCTAGAGGAGTGTGGGATAGAACTCATAAAAGAATGATGTGAAAAGGATGGTTGAATTGTTGGCTAACTTCTGTTTTTAACAGTATTATGGCTCTGAGCTGATGGAAAGCAAGCATTAATGTAGGTGAACAGGTGGAGATGAAGAGATAGACACAAAGAGTGTAACCCTGTAAGAAACGGACGTTTTCAAAAGGGTTATAGGAAGTTTTCTTTGTGATATAAGTCCCTTCACTGGTAGTGCACTGACTGATACAGCTTTTGGATGAGAGTCTTTTGCCTCCCCCTGCTGAGAGCTCTGATTCTGCTGACCTAACATAAAGAACCAGTCATCACAAATTAAGCTAGTTTATCAGCAAACCTTTCTCACCCAGCATGTAATGAAATGCTGTGTAGTGTGAAATTAGCTGGTTGTTTAGATGTCCAAAGCTATACATTTATAAGATAATAATATATAAGGGAGAAACCGCCTTTATGTATCCAAATGGTTTGAGCTTTTTCTACAGTTCACAGAAAAGCTTATTCTCAATGCAGAATCTCTTGGTTTTTCAGTCATTTGTCATATGAAGCAGGGCTTTTCAAACGGGGGTCTGTGGAACCCCAGGAGGCTCGAAGGAAGTCGGGGGCCACGGTTAATTTGGAAAAATATTTGATTTAAACTTAATTTTTTTTTCTCTTCAGATTTATTTATGCTACACTGCAGATATTTTCCATTTGCCAATTGTTTAACCCCTTAACGGTCACCCCCCATTTTTTAAAATAGGCATTAAAGTGCACTATCCAAACTTAAATTGCTATAATTCATGAACACTTTAGAATACAGAGGAAAGGTTGGTCTCTTTTTTTAGAGATTAAAATATCAAAAAGTTATAGAAGTTTAAATATACTGTAAAGAAAATGCACTGTACAATTTTTATTATATTTTATATAAAATAAATATTTTACATAACAGGTTTTACTCTAAAATTGCTTTTAAAAATGTAAAGCCTTATGTCTAAATAAGTTATGTTCCAAATTTGAAGTTGATTTAAAAAAAATTGAGGTTTCTGTGAGATTTTATTTAGGACATTTTTTTGATGCATTTGTCTGTCACAAATGTTTAGATTTCTCTGTCAATATTACTTTTATTACTTCACAAAATAACCACCAAATATGGAATCCTGAGACTCAGACCTTTCCAATTATATGTTTTATGCCAAGATTATAAAAAGCTTTGATTGTAAAAGACCGTAATGCATTTTGTAATATGACACTTGACACCGCCGCTAAGGGGGAGGAGACAGCATATTTTGCGGTGTACTCACCCTGATGTCATCCCCATTGACTTCAATAGTATTTCTTTCCCTGCTATGAAAGTCAGTGGGGACCAACAACTGTTTGGTTCTTCAAAATTCTTTAATATATCTTCTGATGTCGTTGGAATGACATGAGGGTGAGAACATGACAAATTATTCATTTTTGGGTGAACTATTCCTTTAATGGTTTTGTAATTTGGCATAGTATGAATAACATAAAATTGTATAAAAGCTAATTATTTAATTTTGCAAACATGTTTTCTTCATTTTCACAGTTAGTATTTTTCATGACAGTATAAATGGCTCAAGTGTGAAAATATAGTTAGTTGCCTATAAACAGTTTGGGATTTGAGGATCTGTTATCATAGTTAGAAAGCCTCTGATTTAATAGACTGACCTTTTATTTATGATGTTTTGACTATAATCACTATTTTGAGATTGTTTCAGTTGTTTCAAATATCACAGTTGTTGTTTTGCTGCTCGATTTTTGTTACAGTAAGCGCAACATTTTTCACATGTTTCTCATTATTCCAACCACTGAAAACATAAACTTTGATACACACTATTAGGGTCTCAATGTTTTATATTTTATTCCAAACACTGTCAAAGTTGCTGTTTAACCACATTCTAATAAACACAAACATTACCGCGGGAAGTAGGGGTGCTGAGGGTGCTGCAGCACCCCCTGGAGTGTAGCCCACGAAAAAATGGGGGTGCTGGGGGTGCGGTGTTAAAAATAAATGAATGAACAATATGTAATACAAAATAAATAATATTCATTTTATTAATTAGTATATTCATTAAAATTCATTGAAAAAAGTAGCCTAAGCCTATAATGACAAGAAGCAACAGTTAAATATGAGTTAAGTTGAATCAAATTGACTGTGAATGTCATTTCAACTGATTAAACGTATTAAACTGACTTAAAAAATCATTTGTTGCCATGATTTTTGGATTATATTATAACCTGTAACATGTCTCTGCCGTACCCAGATTAAGAATTAACAACAATTTCTAAAGAGAGCAGAGAAAGAGCGAGAGCGTCTACCTCAGCAGCAACAAATCTCGCATTCTCACATTGGTAGCGCTTATTTTGATCTTTAATGTTAGGTCTTTCCTATTCTTGAAACAAATTTAATTCTTAAGGTTGATTCAATATTACTCTTAATGAAAAAAACACACACACAACATCAACAATGCTACAATGACAAAGTCGCTTATATTAAACATAAAACTTTTATGAACAGATAAGAACAAATAAGATCAGTGGCATAGCGTCTGGTTATGCAGGGTATGCAGGTGCATATGGGCCCCGGCAGTTTGGGGGCAACGAGGGAACGAATAGAGCCCTGCACGGGCCAGGCCCTTGTCCTACAGCTTTATGAGAATTCTCGGCCCGAGTCCGACTGGATACCGTGACTTTTCTCTCTCTCTCTCTTCCCCATTACACAGATATTAAAATAGTTCAGCTTTGGTTTTTAATGGCAAAGTGGTCATATTTCTTTTTGTTTCTTTATTAAGTT